CATGTTTGCATGGACATGGTGAAATCATTACAGAACACACATATTTGTATTTTGGGATTTTTCAGCAACAGATTAATGACCATAGTGTCAACATGAGGGTCCTACCAACCAGGCATATCATCAGAAACACTCCAGGAGGAGATTTTTTTAAGCTCACCTCCTTCAGCAACATCATCTGTGCCCTCTTGTGGAGGGCTGGCACAGTTCAACCTCGTCACGTCTTCACTCCCTGCATCTAAACATTTGCTCTAAAGGGGAAAAAAAAAGGATTATTTTAATGTGCTTCTTATTCCTCTATAGCTGCTCTTCTTTCTCTTCTCCCTCAAAACTGCTGGCATGTCCCATGCACCTCTCAGCTTCATGGAAACATATCAGAGGAACTAGTATCAGCCCCAAACCCCTCATTGTTTGGCCTCAACTTGAAAGACTCTTGAACGTCAGTGGGCTATATTCGTAAACTCCAGTCCAACCATGAGCTAACTTGTCAATGACATCACCAAGGAACACTAAAATTACCCGGTTATCAACCATTTCTCTTTGTTCATTCCCTCGCCCCTCTTTAAAACCAGCCACAGGGACACATTAATATCAAGATCAATTTAAAGGGGGATTTTAGAGGCAGCTCCTACTCCACTGAGATGATGCAAGGGACAAAGGAAAAGGGAGAGAACAGAACAGTCAGTACACAGAACTTATAATGAAATAATTTATGGCTCATATTCAGATCCAGGGTGGAATAATTTGTCTCTTTTAGGTTTTTAATGTTAAAGGTATGAAGTCTCAACTGAATGGACAACTATTAAGACTGGGTATGCTTCCTATAAAAGCTCCTATTCCATGTTATATATCCCAGGGTATAATTAGTGATGATGTTGCAGATTCTGCACAAAGTTGCTTTGGATACCAGTAAATGGTGTTTCCCTTCTTATCCAATAAATCCATTTTATTTTCATGTTCGCTGACACCAATGAGATCATTACTGCAAAGCTTGACTGCACGCCTACCATGTTGTATAGATCAGATTTGTGGAGTCTGAATTTTACTAGACTGCACCCCATTATTTTCACCCTTTGCTCTGGATCTTTGGGATTCCTACGTAATAGAAGACTTTGAACAGTGTGGTTGTAATACTGTTTCAAAACTGGTGGTTGAGGTAGACTATACCTGCTGTGTAACCTTCTGATTCAACATTTTCTTTTGAGTCAACTCTATTCCCATGGTTCAAACGACCTACTGAGGTTTCAGAGGTACTCGGTTTGGATAAACATTACATTTACAGCTTTTGATGAAAATGGCCCCAAATAAAAATGAGGGCCTAAACTGGCCTTAGAGAGGATATAGGGGAAAACAATCTGGGACAGCTGGTGTAGACATCCAGTCATTCTTAGCTCAAAAATCATAAAAGTGAAACCAAGAAAATGGAAATCGTTCTGAGCAGCCAGAGCAAAAATACTTATGAGTCACAGACAGAATTTCATCCTAGCTCTGCTGTGAAGAAGTTCGGGAAACTCATCTGCTGGGTATGCTGATACTCTCAACATCTTTAGCAAATCTTGACAAACTCCGTCACAACAACAAATATGACTCGTTAATGTTCCAGTCCGTCCATTATGCTTCAGTTCAACCCGGCTGGAGCTAATGTATCATGACCCCTGAAAAGTTCCACTTAGTGTTGCATTGCTGGGAAATTGAGATCAGACTCTTGGCAGCGTTCATCTTTGATGAGGGGAAACAGCGTCATCTCTGTGATTGGGAAGGAAGAGAAACAAACACTTTCAATGTTACTCACATAGCGACAATTAATCTGTCCTTTGCCATTTCCCCTTCTATGACCGAGACGTCAGTGGCCTTTAACCATCATCAATTGACTGAGGCTAATTCTAATGACAAGTATATGAGCAAAAAGAAAAGCAACATAAGGTCACTCCACTTGCCAACAACGGGACATGATACACGAGAGAAAGCAGAGAAAAAGAGCAGCAGGTGCGAAGCAGCTGAAAGCCGTCAAACTTCTTCTGGCATCAGTACATACGTTCTCTGGTTTCCTATGGTCAGAGATTCACTTGAGGTTATTGAACATTGAACAGCATCATTCAGTCATACTCCACCCTTTTTTGTCCACCGAATCCCTGATGAAACAAAACAGATACTTCATTTTACTGCCAAATCAAATGATTCAATATTATTTCTACCGCTTCCTCAGTTAGGAGCAGTGGGTCATCTGGAACTTGTAATTGGACGTAAGTACTTTTCTTAGGCCTTCTAGAAGGAAGGGAAAGGAGCAGAGGCAGACTAGGTTGTGAGAAACTCTTGCTTCAGAATGAATGTCTCTGCATTTAATGTTGAGTTGAACTTTTATACAGTGGTTTATGGTGGTGGTATGGTTTTGTTAAGGGGAGACATAATCAAGCTCCAGATGTGACCCAACCTATCAGGAAATGTTTAATCAATTATCATTATGCTCTAGACCTCGGATTACACACATATCATTTTATGTAATCTGGCAATCTAGATCTGACGATTTATTACAACTACATCCCTAAAAAGCTCTTCCTCTAACATCCCACTTATATTTATGTCCTGTTTTCAACAAAGGAAGATAAAACAAAACAATGCTTTTATTGGAATATGAATCCAATTAGCATCTGGCGTGAGAGCTGACATTGGTTTACCATGTTCTCTGATCATGTTCAATTGGTCATGGACGAATCACACAGATACGAATGTTGCAGCAAACCTTTCTACTTGATATTTGGCGTGTTGGTGAAAAGTTTCTCTACACAAATAAAAGTGAATCAATTAAGGTGAGTTAAAGGAAAAAGGTTGGACAGATATGTGTTACTCGACCATCCACCACCAGCCTCGGGCAGAAGGCTTTGATAAATGGGTGAATGCACAAAAAAGTACACAGACAGCCAATTAGAATAAAGCAGCATGAGAACGGGTAATAAATCACAGCTTGAGTAAAAAGCCATGTGCAGACTCAATAAATTCACTGCAACTTTATATGTAAATAAAAAAGAAAGAGCAGAGATCCGGAGGGAGTGTTGATGCTTTTGGAGCACAGAATAGTGAAACCATCAGCTCTGATGGTGAAACATAACCCAAGTATAGTTACAGCACTGGAGGTGCTCCGCATTACCCTGAGGGCACTTCAGTGGATATAGGAGAGAAAGCAGTTTTACAATAGCTAAACAGATGATCAGGCTAACAAAGCTTTTGTGTCCCTGCCACACTATTTTGTTTCAGCCCATTCCAGACATGGATAGAAAAACATCCACAAAAGCGAGCGCAAACATTTCCAAGACACGGCAGACCACTAGACCAAGATTAGATCCTTGCATTTGAAAGAATAATAAGTCTAATACGAGTGCACAGATCCTCTGGACCCTGAGCGTGCACCGAGTTTGGATGAGTCATCTGACCCAGGGCTAAGCCTCACCCACCACAATGCCTGCCAACACACACACTCACACACACACACACACACACACACGCACACACACACACACACACACACAGCCTAGCTTTTGAAAAGATCCCCAAGCGTCTGGAAAACTGACCACATCACGGTCAGGGAGAAGAACCATAAATTAGTGTGGGAGAAAGGAAAGGGAGATACAGACAGGACAGCTCAGACTACTGTTCTCACACACTGAGGTCTCACAATTGAACCATAGTTAAGTGCAGGGTGCTCTCAAGGCTCCAGGGCCTTATGCGACTCTTATAAAGATTTGACAGAAAAGCCTTACAATCAGCCAGAGATCACAACAGGATTTCTGTTTATCCATCCAATATGTAATCCCTCTGGATTTTCTGAACAACTCTTTGGAACAACATTAAATACATGACGTTCCAAAGGATCATACAAGCCTTTGTTAATCCCAGTAGCGATCTTATTCTTTTAAACACAACATACAAAATGAGGGATGAGCCATTTCCATATCATGCATCATACAAATTGAGATCAACTCCTTGATCTTTGCGGAGGGAAAAAGCAGGAGGAAAACAAATGTTTATGTTGCTGCACCATGTGTAGTTGTAAAAAAAGGCCAGTGAACCGCCACAGCAAACAGCTGAAAATGTTAGGAAAACGTTCAGCTAGAAACAACATGACACGTGTTTAATATGGACAGTTTGTGCTTCAGCACTTTACAACTCCTGCCAAACCTAACAGCCTCAAACTATCCACACAACAATGATGGATATCTTCTGGATTACACTGCATGGGTTGTGATGGTCAGAGACTATTTTTATTATGCTGCCTGAGGTTTAAACAATAAATGGATTTAAGATGTGTTCCTAAGACTTAGGACAAAGTCACTCCACAAATTAAACAAAGAAAGAAACTGCTGGCTCTCACAAATTAGACTGGATTCAAGTTTTATATTCACAGAACATTTCAGAGCAGAGGTTTCAAATATCTGTCACTAACACGCTGCTACAAAAACTAGCCATGGTAAGATAACATAATGCAGAGGTCACCAACCTTTCTGAAACTGAGAGCTACTTCATGGGTACTGAGTCATACGAGGGGCTACCAGTTTGATACACTCTTCTGAAATATCACATTTGCTCAGTTTGCCTTTAGTTATATATTATTATTAATGTTGAATGATACTCATCTATGTGAAGACACTGATCGCGTTAATGATTTCTCACAATAATTATCAACAATGACCTAACAAGGTGGAAAACAGATAATATCAATATTCAACACTTTATTTCCATTAATCTCAGCGATTGTTAAAATTTTCAGATGATCACTTCTAGCCACCGACCAACACTTTTAACAAATCATAGTCAATAGTCAACTTCAATGTGAAAAGTAAATAATTACGTTTAATTAGAAACGCAAATCAGATTTTGTTATTTTTAGAACAGGCCTGCGGGCTACTCATGTGGTCCTTGGGGGGCTACCTGGTGCCCGCGGGCACCGTGTTGATGAACCCTGATATAATGCAACCTGGTGGTTTTAGCTGATCATTAGCAGGAATACTTACCGATCTTTTCAAACAATATGCAGCTGGAGTGAGGGGATAAAAGTCTGTAATCGGGAAAGAAAGAATAAAAATGACAGCAAACCAAACAACAAACCGGCTAACAGTTCTAGGTAGCTACCAGCTAGTTAGCTTGAAGTCTGTTAAAGACAAAGGAGTAACAGTTAAGACAGTAAACCAACCAATAAACTAGCTACTAGCCGGTTAGCTCAAAGTCTGTTGAGAAAAACAAATAAAGATGCAAACCACGTGGTTAGCTCCAGCAGCTAGCAACTAGCCAGTTAGCTTACCTTGAATTGGTCCATTACCTTGAACTTGGACATTGCGTCTCTCCTGTAACCAGTTAGCAAAAGGCTAAAGTTAGCACTGTTATAAAAACATTGCTGATAAAAACCTCTCACACTGGATCAACAGCAGAGTCACGAAGTCTCTTCACCTGAAACACAAACGATTATGATTTACTCCTTCATTGGCTGTGGTCTAGGTTTTGAGCTGTAGGGGTCAGTAGTGCGCACTTTCTGCTCCAGGTCTGCCATCACTTGAAGAAGAAGATAATTGCCCCATTTAAGAATGAACTACTTTGTTGAGGATGTAGTATTTTTTCATTCCAGCAGTATTACTGTATGTACTGTATTTTTACACATTACTGTATTATTGTGTATACTGCAGTTTGAAATGTTCTTGTTCGACTTTAATTTGTATATTGAATCATAATTTTCAACAGTAAAACACATGCATGAAGGTTTTACTTTATTCTGAGACTTAAAATAATATTCACTGATGTAGAATTCAGATGTTACAGTGATCACGTGGGACATTAAACTGAGACGGAAGAGTTACATCAGCCATCCTTCACACCCTATTAGTTTTTTAGCAAAATATGACATGACATATGAAGCACTTAAAAGGAATGTCCCTGTTACAAAAGGAGACTGCACACTAAAGAAAAACAGGTTTATTCATGCAAATCATTTTAAAAAACACCAAGAGCCATGACATTATTTGAGCTAAACAATTGTAATTATTATTTTGTATGCATTTAAAGAAAACAACCAAACCCATGAGTCAATAAATAAAGAGATTCTCTCAATGTTTGTTTTACACTTTGCCATCTTTTATAAAAGTTTTGTACAAAATGATTTCAAGTAACACATACAGAGGAGATCTGGCTGAAACCTGGGTGATTATTTTTCCTTCATGTTTCTTATAATCATCAACTCCCTCAATATTATCGGGTTGGCAAAATACATGACCAAGATTGGAGTAATAGTGCACCCACTGTTCCAGTGGCACATTACAGCTCAACACTGGCTGTCAACACCACAGCTATAATTGTTTATTACTATAATTTCTGTAAGACAAAGTGAATGACAGTACTTCAGTGGGATACAACTTCTACCTTGGCTTTAAATGACAGCACAGAGCAAGGCCATAACTTTCATGTTGATGACAGCCTCGGAGAAGTTAACAGTGGAACCCGATTTCATTATTTCTGCGAGAACAGGCATTTCACTTCAATGAACGCTGAAAACTAGAACCAGATTGTTGATTATGTTTTAAGTTACAGTTACTATTAAAAAAACAGCAACACAAACCTCCCCGGGTGGTTCTGCAGAGGAGTCCTCACATAAAGGGTTTCAAACTGAGCTTCTACATAATTATACATGGTGCTCTCGATAACTTTGCTCAGTCGAAACAATGCGCTGGACTTGTTTGGTGAAGACGAAAGGAGGTGGCTTTTATTCTTGAAATGAAATGACTTGAATTGAGATGTGAAATAAAACGTACTTGCATATGTGTCATGTCCTGTTCCGTCTCATTTTACAACAATTTCCAACCTCGGATTAAGACCCATTTACTCAGTAACACCACTCATCTGCACGCTGCACGCTGACACAGTCCCCAGTTTCACACACACACTGCTAGTTTTCCACATATAGCACATTCTCACCATACTGGAACATTTCAAGCAGCGAGCGATACTGACTTTATATGCCTTCAAAGCATACCTCCCTTCCACCATAGATTTATTTGTGCTGTACGTCAGGATAAATCCCAGTCTGTTGGGCTGTAAATTAAGACCTGGGTCAGTCTGCTGACCATTGATGGTGGTCCGGATCTCCCAGTAAGCAGTGATGTCTGCCGCTGTTCTTGGGTGGCCTTCACAGTTGCTTTGAATGGGCCTGGTGTATAAAGGCCTGCACAGAAAACACACTTTGAAGAGATATCAGAGGTTTTATACTCCAGAGAGGTGGTATTAACGATATGAAACGTGATCCTCCAAATTCTTCATGTCGTGACATCTGTGAGTGATACTGTGCAGTTTTAACTAAATAATTATATGTGTGCTGCATAAAATTAACAATCATGATACATTTGGGAATGATAATACATAAGTCATATGGCTTTAATGTGAAATATTATCCTACACAAAGATATCAGTAAGGTTAAAACCATTTCATCTTTACAAGTTGTGACGTGCTGAGACATCCGCAGATACTCGGGGGGGGGGGGGGGGAAATCAGAACTCTGTCTTTGTGTGACATCTGTGGCTGTAACTGAAGTCCTCATCTCACAAACCGTCTCGCCTTATTCCAGAGCTGCTCGTGCTTCGATATTCTGCTGACATTAAAGCTGAAGGACCGGAGGAGACACATGAACTCAAAGGAAAATATTGATAGTATAAACCGAGTTAGCATGCTGCTGATCTGTGGGACAAGAACAGATGGGAAACATACTCTGAACTCCCCTTAAACACAGTGAGCAAGGAATATAAAGCATGACAGGAAAATATTGTTTATAGCGATATAAAGATTATATCAAGGCATCAGTGTGAGCCGTGTCCTCAAATTCTTCTGCAAGATCTTTGAAAAACCACATCCCGTTCCAATGAGCAATAAATGTGCAGCAATACATGAGACATTATTCCACACATACCATGTTTTACAGGGTGGGGTTTGAAAGTGATTAGTCCTCTCACACATCCTTTTTTACAGGAATCACCCTCAAAGAAAGGAGACAGAAGATATGAGTTGTTTGTCGACCACATCCCCGAGACAGACTTGAAAAGTTGGTGCGGTTGGACGTACCACACAACACAACACAACTCAGTAGGTTTCAAATGGAGGGATCAGACCGTGTGAGGGTGGGGAGAGTGTGTGCATGGAGCGTGTGTCTCTGGTGCTGACGTTGCATGTGTGACACCCCGACGACCACAGTTTGACCAAAACATGCCCAGGCATACACACAGGAACAATGTCGTCTTGGTCAGATTTCTACTTCTCTGTCAGCGCCACAGTTCAAACTCCTCTCCTACTGTTTTACAAGTCCAAAATCAGAATCTCAGACACAACGGGGACATGTGCACCAAATCATTTTAATGAAGATAACAGCATTCCTTGTGTTCCTTCTACGACTAGCGTATTATTTGGAAATCACTACATCTTTTAACAGTGCGTATCGATAAATGTTTTCCTAACATGGCTGTGCTGCCCTCACAGTGAGAATATGCACTAGGCCAAGAAAAAGAGTCTGTCAACAACAAAATGCATCTGCTTCTACACTCCACACGGAGGTTCAATAGCATGCAATAGAGCAAACAAAAATAAATGTTGTATTCCATACTCTGATGTCATATTTTCACTTTTTATCATACAGTTACAGTACAATGTTTATGAAATATCTGTGAAAAAAAGTATACAATCTTTTTTCTCATTCGTGTGAATTACAAAAATAATCGTCTCTATACACATATTCAAAATGTCCAGTGGTTTGCATAATAGTTTGATTGGATCAATGTCCCTGGTCTTCCGTCACTATAGGCCTGTGAAAAATGAAAGACAAAAACATCAGTCTCCTAGAAACCAAAATCAAACACATTGAACCGCTTATAAGAATAACAACTGGGGGAATTACTATGAAACAGCCATTTAATATTTAACATGTCACAGTGCAAACATGAGGTGGAAAATGAGGCATGCTGCTGCCCGGTCCAGGTTCCAACGACCGTATTTCATAAGTTCTGGGAGAGCGGTGATTGGGGTGACTTAAGCAGCAAGCTTTGAGTTTGGTTACCGTGGCAATGCTCTGGCCTCTCCGATAGCCAAGCAGCAGCAGCCTGCTCTCAGATCTCCCTCCAGACTGGCACACTGACACTGGGAGCTGTGGGCACCTCCGGAGCCACAAGAAGGAGAACCGCAGACAACCTCAAACCAGACAGACTTTCTCCTTCTCCCAAATGTTGACGCTGAGAGTTTGACACTGTCTGCTGCGTGTAAACTCAGAACCCGAGTGACTTAATGGAACTGGGCAACAGTGTTCATGTCTCCACACATGGCCAAGCTCTACCAATCACATATCAGAGCCACTGTGCCCTCCATTTAGTCTGTGATGGTAATTGAATGGACCATAAATGAAGGTGGAGGCCTTCACAGTCAGTCACCCATTGGTAGTTATTTGGGTAACGTGTTGTGGCTACAAATTAGGTCACTGACAGACACTGAGACACTCAGTTTGAGGCAGTTGCTTACAGTGACAGAAGTAAGACTGGAGTCGTTCTTGGAGAATCATGGGACGCAGCACATCATGAGGTGAATCTTTCTTTGTGGACTTTAGGCTGTGACGCCTCTAACTGGTCAGATTCTCACCTGAAAACACAGATCTTTTACTGGCATCTCGGGCACCACCTGTAAAAATGAAGACAGGATATGTGTCACATAGAGGTGCATGATGATTCTTAGGGAAAAGAGATATTCATTGTCCTACACTGTCATGCTATATAATACTATGACTTACTGCATGTTGTACCTTTAAATATTTAGCAACCAGGTAGCTTAGAGAAGCACAAAGACTGAAACAGAAATGGCCTCCCTGCTGTTTTTCAGCTTGAGTTTTTTGTACTGAAACACAATTACTGACCTTTAAAGAAACTGAATAGCAATTTATTTTAGCTTTGAACACAGCCAGTCTATTTCCCCATTTACAGGCGCTATGCCATATACTGTAGATAAAGATGGACAACATTGCTGGCTGGCTGCAGTAACCTAACTAAAAAGTCAAAGCACACGTCACAGCTTGTTTCTGTCATTTTAGGTAGTTCTAATCATACTAATATTTGTTTAACTGTTAATTAATTCATAATTAAAGGGGGTGATATGTCATGATTGACAGTTGAGTCTGACTTGCGTGTATCAATGGGACATCACTACTGCTGCTCCATCCCCTGATCGCTACTGAAGCCAGGGATCAAACCACTGACCCTCTGGTTTGTGAACAAACAGCTCGACCTGGACTCACTTGTGTGCATGCTGTAATAGTTACAATGACCATCATGTGCAACAACACTGTTTCTGCCGTAATTACTTGTGATAAATAACACAAACTACACTGACCACTGTTGACATCCACTACATAGTGTTGACAGGTGTATGACATAACTTTTTGATCTACTTCCACTCTACATGTCAGTGCTGTGCTAAGTGAGATGGCCACATAAGGACAAATGGTTTAACAAGTGAGAAAATGAACAGACGTCTTTCATCTCCTTTGTGGTATGTGTGGTTGTCCCATTGTGGAAGTTTATAGAATAACAGGAAATACCTATGGATTTCCCCCCCCCTTATTTAACTCTCACCACACGCTTGGCGGAGGCTCAGACACATCTGCTGTGATAATGGGAAGAGGGTGTCACAGCACTAATGAAGTGAGCCCAATATACATGGACACACACACACACACATACATATAGATATGTGGACATGATGAAAGCAGAGCAAACGACTTCAAAGACAAAAATGATCATAGAGTTTGAAATAAAATGTGAAATGAAAATACGTTTAAAAAAAACAGGATTTGTTTTTCACGTTTTCCTGCCAGAAGAAATTGAGTAATTCTGATCAGACAACAATTACAACAAGTAACTGGCTACAGCAGTGGAAGATTTCTGTGATTGTTTCCTTGTTCCTCTGTTTGTGGAGTAGATTTGTGGCACAAATTAAGTGTTCAGTTGCCAATATGCAATTTAACATAATCAATTCAAAAGGTCAAAGAATTACCGCTGAAAAGACTGAAGAAGAATTAAGGGGGCAAAAAAAGCTGCAGAAAACAATTTTAATGTCTCCCCAGACTAATACAGTGACTCAAACACACGCTTACACATGCACAAAGACACACAAACCAGATTTCAGTGAACACTCCTGTGGGCCCTCTCTCACGCCAGAAAACGCTTTGTCACGTCTTGTGGCTGTTGGGTCTCCTTTTCTCTGTCAGTCTCTCTCTCTCCCTGTGTCTGAGCCACCTCTAACTCAATAAGTGGCTCGTATCCTTTCTCAACATGCCACTACCATTGCCAAGACTTGGAGCTGGCCCCCAGGGGCTATTAGGAAAATGTATCCATTTATTTTGCAAGATACGCATTTGGCAAAACAACGGCACTCTGGAGGAACTTGTCAGGGGGTTGTGTTTCCATGTGACAACCATTTGCATGCTTGATCTTTGTATGACTGGGATTCTTGTTTCATAACATCAATGAAAAACGTCTTTTTGAGGCCCACGTGCATTCGATTTTCAGATCGAGTAGCTGATGCTTTGATTACGGAGAGAACAGGGCCAAGTTCATTAAAGAACTTTTCTGAAATCATTGAATGTAAATGTGGACGTGGTAAAATCAATATCAGAGTTGGGATTGGCAGAGTTGTGACAGGAACTAAATATGGTAAGGTTGAGACCAACCTGTCTGTCCATCCAGCACATTACGCCACTCACAAGATGGAGTCAGACAAGTCAGGTTACCATGACGTTTGGTTCTGTATTTTGATCAGGTCATAACATACCCATGAGGTAATTGATTATCTGAACCATTGAGGGCTGAAGCCAATCCCAGTTGACACTGGGCGAGAGGCGAGGTACACCCTGGACATGTCGGCAGTGTACCATAGGGTCAACATACAGAGAGAAACAACCATTCACACTCACATTGGCTGTTTTAGGGAACTTTACCGTCTCCAATTAACCTAACCCCAACCTGCATGTCTTTGGACTGTGGGAGAAGCCAGAGTATCTTGCTTACTCCACAGAAACCTCCTTGCTGTGAGGTGACTGCTAATCACAACACCACCATTATGAACATTGCAGAGGAGGGGGGATGGACCCTGTTGAATTTAATGACCCTATATTCTTTCTGTCAGTGGCAAGATGCAAGTCCTAATCATAGAGCTTTAAGTATAGCAACATTTTCAGTGTGCTCTTTCCAATATGTCCATACCCCACACATCCGGCCTTAAAACTACCTGTCCTGCAAAAATATGTAATATTTACATGAGTTAGTTTGCATTTAGTGCAGCTACAGTGTAAATCCTGACAAACATCTTAGAGGATCTGAAACGTTTAGCTTTATGTAAACCAATTAAGAGGGCATATAGTTGACAGACTGTTAGTAGACATCAGTGAATTGAGAACTCCTCTTAGTTTCATTCTGGCAAGCCTCCGACTATCAGACCGGGCTGCTGTATACGTCCATGTGATTTATGGTCCAGAACATTCAAGGAGGTCTGATCTAATTCAGTCACATTCAAAGCTGGAGTAATGTGGCGTACTGTATCCCAGCCAGACCACTGCTCTGACTGGATTTATGACTTTCTAGCGAGGACCGTTCATGTCTATTGACTGGATCTTGATAGATATACATCTCGAGCGTGGTGCCAGGAAGAGAGTTTTTACATGACAACGTTTCACCCCCGAGGAATTCACCCAGCTATGTCAGTTTTTATGTGTCAGCCCTTGTGCTCCATCTCAGTCATTTTACAAGGAGTACTTGCACATTAATCTCAATTTTTTAATAGGTCTTTTGCCACTTCAATACATCAGTTATTCACTGTGATAAAGTGACATTACAGTAATAAAACAAGCCTCACTTATTACTGGGGTTAAGGTAAAAACATTACAGGGTGGAATTGGTCAAATTTGAGAACTGTTGATTCAAAAGACAGATTTTAATAAACCACAAGCATCTGAACGGAACAAAAAATGATCCCTCGCTCTAGAACAAGGAGAAAAGAATACAACAAGATGATGAAAAATGAATAATGAAATGAAGTTTGAAAATGTAAATACAGAAGGAAGGAAGAGGTAGGTACGTCACTCACTCTTGTCCTGTTCAGGAGGCTCCAGGATGTCACTGTCTGTGTCACTGGGGATGTGCCAGGGCTGTCTGATGGCCTGTAACTGCTGGTAAAACTCATCCTGAAATGGAAAATAACAGAACAGAGACGATGGAAGAGATTGTTTTTTTACTCTGTGGATTTAATAGACCGAAAAAAATTTATCTGAAGCAGCCTGTCTAACTAAAATGGCATCACTGAAACTTATTTTTTACATAACCATTTTCATATACTTACAGAAAAACTTGAACTGCAATGTACAAATATCTGTACAAATAATGTAAAAAATATCTCCACTTGTTTTTTTTATACTTAATACTCTATTATTTTATTCTATTATACTGTTACTATGATCTTGGAGTAAGCTGACACAAGAATTTCCTTTGTTGATCTTATCTTATTTACATCCTTTCGTTCTTGTTCAGCCAGTATTTTTAAAAGACTCATGAGACCCTCACTCTCTAACCAGGCCTTGGGACCATGGGACCAGGGGGCCTCAGTAAAATCAGACTGAGGGCAGTGCTGTTTTGGATAATCTTACTACGTGTCAACTAGTATGAGTGTAAGGATACAGAGGCACTGCCCCCCCCCTCGATTTATAGAGCCTTCAAACAGGTCTCGTATTTTAAAAGCGCTGCTGTTGAGTAGATCATGAAAGGAATATAAGACAGAAATCCCATTGAAAGTCCCCCTTTTATGCCAGACTCATTTTTCCACAATGAAATGACATCCTACTGTAAAGACCTCCACGACTCTCTCAACACACACACACACACACAGTGCGCAGAGCTAGTGTTTGTGAGCGTCGGCACACGTGTGATGTTACGTGTTCTGGTGCGCTCCATCGTAATCTCTGTGTGTAAAAAAGCTCTGGTGTTCTGCAGCCAGCTTTACTTGGGCACTGAGCCTGTTTGACACTCAGCACACAAGTTCACTCACACACTAAAACATTAGAGTAAAGCTGGAGCCATTTTCAAGTCTGTGGCTCAAAATTTATGACACATTTACTTCTGATTTACACACTGTGAGTGTACGTGATCTGTTTTATTGCGAGATAAATCACAGATGGAAGAAACACCTCCAGTGTAATATGTAGAGTGTTATGTCACACTCTGGACATGGAAGTTACGGTGTCCATTAAAGGAAGCATTCAACTTCTTGCCAACAGTTAGATTAAATTATTAGCACTCTCATGTCTGCCCATTAAATGTGAAGCTACAGCCAGAAGACACTTAGTTTAGAATAAAGACTGGAAGCATGATGGATCCACCGACAAAAACCAAGGTGTAAAAAGACAAATTCTGGCTTTACAGAGAACATGTGAATGGCTCTTTCATTAATTTTCTACATCTCACCTTTATATAGATTAAACCAAGGCAGCATGAGGTGTTTATTAGCTTTATCAGAGCTGGAAGGTGGATTTTTATTAACTTTAGACGGAGACTTGATTTATCCTAATCTAATCCTAAACTCATCCAAAACTAACCTAACCATCTCCTGTTAGCTTGGTATTAATTGGAAGTATTGATAATAATAAATCTTTTCTCTTAATCTCCTCTATAAACAAATAAGTATATTTCCAATAATGTTAATACTTGCTACATTAAAGTATTTTTTACAAGTGATGATTTACCGTTTAATTTTTTGGGTCTCTCTGAACATTTGCTGAGGCCCAACAGACTGTTTCTGTGTCAGACTTTAGTGAATTCATGAGGCCTTACATCTGCACAGTGAACTGAAATGTGTTTTGAAGGATTACGGTGCATGTCTCAGTTTAGGGTCTCACCTCAGACAGATAGGCCCGTAGGCTGGCACCGAGGCTGTCTGTCGTGCTTAGTCCTGGAGGGGTGAGCAGCGGTCGGGGGTGCATGGGCTGACTCGTTGGCGTCACAGGGCGGCTTCGCGACCTCCTGAAGGTCACCTCTTTATGAGATCCGGGGTTAAAGGTGGAGCGTGTCAGTAAACTATTTGGGGTCAGAGGCCTGCTGGGTGTTCTGGGGGTTTGAGTCCTGCTCCCAGGGTTGCTGGGAGATTGAGTCCGACCCATGACCAGGGAGGTGGGCTTGGGGCTGAGCAAAGGGAGACCTACGCCACAGGGCTTGCTCGAGAGGCTGCTGGCGGGAGACTGCGGCCTGGAGACGAGGCTGGGGAGAGGAAGCGTGTCGGGCAGTGTTCTGTGGCGCAGAGGGGTGTGGAGCAGACTACTGTGCACGTTATTTGAGCTCCAGTTGGTCATCTTCCCTACTTCTGCCAGCTTGGCCAGATCCTTCTCAACCTCTAGAGGAAAAAAAGGACATGGTTCAAGTCAGGAGCCAGATGTCATACTTTAAAATTAAAACAGTCAACACACGCACCATCTGAATGGCTGAGCTGGTGTAGTTTTCCTTATTCAAATCCTGTTTTTCCTGAACTGAAATTTAATATGTATGCAATGATTCATGTAGCATTTAACACAAATCCCAGATAACTGGCAACTGTACCCAGAGATTCCATGACTTATTTTTTGCGACACATTCAGAAGCTGTGGAGGTATAAGTGTGCGTCCTACAAGACTGATGATTCACAAACTTTACTGAGCATTAAAGTGGGCGAGACCGCTTGGTTTAATCCCTCTTCTGGGCAATGATGACAATATTTATAGACCCTGTAAACTGTGGTGAATCCGGCTTCCTGCGTCAGAAAAGGTTCCAAGTTGATATACAGTAAGCACATCCTGGTAATAGTTTTGTTCCCTGTTCCTGACAAAAACACATTTGTTTGCCTCACTGGTAGTCTCAAAAACATTTCTGTTTGCAAAAGAAGTGACGCTGCCAACTCCTGCGATCAACATCTGGGTAATTTTTTCCATGTTTTCTGCTTTTCGTTACAGTTCTTGGCAATCGAGGTTCAACACACCAGTCTGGGAGTTATCATTTGAGGGGGATCATTTTGGGAGTGACTCATCAGCAGCAAGTATTTCTGGAATATTGTATTTACGTGACGTTAAATAAACAACAAAAGGAAGCGTGACAAGTGTTTCACAAACCTTGACTTCCCTTGTTTTTGTACAAGCGGTGCTTACCTGCGATACAAACAACAATTTTCCACGCAAAAATGAAACACATGCTCCAGTTCACTGACAAATATCCACTCAGTATGCAGACCAGTGCTACTCTAAATGCAGCTTTGGGACATTACTGGTTTGAAATCTATTCCAGACTATTTTGTATAGCATCCTTTGGGGATCAAATACATTTAATTCTCTGACGTGCATAATTAGATTGCTGTTTCTGTGCTCAATCATCTCTCGTTATAGGCAGGGTGACCTTTACAGTGAGATACACTGCAGAGCACATACAGCCCACTGCAGAGCCTATGTGTTCAATAACCTGCATGTGTCTGTGTTGCTTTAACCCTCGTACATTGTACACATGTTACTTCTCTGGATAATAACAGAGGTTTAGGTCACACGTTGGCCTTGCTCTGTCTGAGTACAGAAAATGAACTCTCTGGGGTGCACAGGGCATGTCATGACATCAGCGCATGGAGGTGACAGGACTGCAGAAGACATTATGGTAGAAACCACAAACCCACTTTGTTATTAGGTTGATAAAAAGCTATATCATGACCATAAGCCCTGCTACATAAGGGCTAAGTACTTCAATAATTTCTCAGTTTAAACGCTTAACCACACACACCCTTCCCACTGTGACTGGTGTTATTATTATATTGTAAACAGGACATGTTCATAAGTAATCTGCCCCCATAAAGTTGACATTTTAATCTCAAGTTATTTACCGTTAGAATGATAAACACTACATGTCGAGAATCTGTCGGCTTCCCATAAATGGCAGCTCCACTCGTGATTTTTTTGTAAACCGAGAGCTTTCCTCGACTTCCTGGCATCGAGGAGTGACCAATATCGAGCAGCCTTATTTTGAAATTCTGTGCAGTTGACTGTGTTTGATACAGAAATATTACAAGTCGTCTCGCAGACGCTGATGTATAATGACAGCTCCTACACATCAAAGAGGGACCATCAAAATCCATATGGTAGAAATCTTTTGATAAATTTTGATCCAATCATTCAGTAATAAGACGAGGACAAAAAAAAGAAGCGGGGAGAAAATGAGACAGAGAGAAGGAGACAAGGAGAAATGGAAACAGATCTAATCTATTTAACTCTTTGATCAAACAGCAGTTGCACATGGTAAGAGCGTACAGGGCCACAGCACGCTATACAAACATTCAGAACTTGTGTTAACTTTACTAGTTTCCTTCTCATATCATTTCTCTGGGTTTCATTTTCAGGCTTATGATGATTCAATATACGGCTTGCCTGAAAACATTATAAAAGCAGCCATTGTCTTTGGATTAGAAGAAAAATGGGCAGAAGTGCACATTTTTAATATGGTGTAACTAAGACTGGGGAATGAACTTAATACTTTTTGAGTCAAGGCCAAAAATATATCTGTAGCTTTGAAAATTGCCAAAAATTCGAAAGCTGGCAATGAACGCTTGTTTTCTTTATTCATCACTGATGCATTGAGCAGGATAACACGTTTTTGTATTTGGCATATTTACAAAGCCATTGTATTGTACGAGCAATGACATACATTTTTAAAATAAACCCACCTTTCATTGAAACTTGGATTAAACTGCGCTTAAATGTAGAATATGTAACTTTGGCCGACAGGATACTCAGTCAAAACAATCAGAAAAGACTGATGACGAGTTATTGAATTCAGCACCATTGCCGGTGAAAATCTATCTCAGGTTCTATTAATCATATTTTATTGACTTAATGCAACAAACAGTGATTAATAATCGTGATCTGTTACGATACAAACCACGGAAGAAAAAAACTGCAACTGTGTGGATTTCCTTCTGAATACGTCATTTGCTTTAGAAGTTATAGCAGAGGCGGGTGAAGTGGATATGACCCAGTTAACTAAATCAATTAAATACCTTGAAAAAAATTGGGGTTAAAGATTCAAATAAATATTTTGGATAATGTGAGAACACGTTTTTAAACTTTTCAATGAAGAATTGTAACAAATGTTATCTTTATTACTCTTTAATAACAGGTGAACTTAGCAGTGCTGTGTATATTTATATTATTTAAAAAGTATAATTAGATTCAATGCATCACTAAAGGGAGATTAAGGGCGATTGCACAAGCACATTATTGGGCTCATGATGCAAGATGAAAAGTGAGACTCTGGCTCCAAACATGGAAAGTTTGAGCAGCTAATAAAAGGCTTGACAGAGTTGAATTAGCTTGTTGCCTGGTGGGAGCACGCAGCCTGAATATTCAGTAACTCAGTGTAAAACAATCAGTGCCATTTGAGGACCTCTGGGGGGGATTGTTATGTTGTTATTAACATAAATAGTTTTAGTGCCTCCTAAGCACCAGTTTATTCAGTCCTGATGAGCTGAGAAGTTCACTGCAGCTGGGACCACCGACTGTAATCACTTCACCAAGCGAGTCGAATATGCTTCAAATGAGTCTGGTGTGTGAGGACACATACGAGGTCTTTAACACACAGTGACACTGTCAAACAGCGTGGGAGGACACGCATTAACAAACAATAGGATGACATACGATGGTGAATGGCGTCGCTCCCTCTGGCCTCCATTCCAGTTCTTTCATCTGATTCACAAGCAAATATATATTTGATCATTCTGACAACAAAAGCAGCGTGTGAGTCACCCAGACGTCACATGTATCAAAGATGAGACTCGAGCTTCATTAAGAACAATGATTTCCATAATGCTACACAAACTTCACTGTGTCAGTTGAAATCAGTCTCGGGCTTCGATCACTTCCAAATGACTCAGCTGGGCGTGACGTAAACGTGACAAAGCTGCAGCTGTGATGAAATTCTGGAATGTGGAAATTAAGTTATCTGAATCAGTTTTCCAATTTAGTCTTGACACATTTAGTGGGGAAATCACTTTTTAATTAAACTGAAGCCCCCCCATCCCACTCCTCATGAGTACTTTCTATTCGATAAGTCTGAAGTTCAAAGTGTGTGTGTGCATTCCTGTGTATCTGACTTGACATACCCTTATAACTCATCATTAAAGCCACTAATACAGACACAAACTCACACAGGCACTGAAGGCAGACCACAGACGCACACATAAAACACACACATGTACACATAGCTGCGTACCAGCGAGCTGTTTGCCCATGTTCTCCAGCTCCTTAGAAAAGAGGGAGTCGCCCAGTAGCAGGCCCGTCTGCCCGACAGAGGTCCCACCTCTCACAGCCTTCAGATCAGCCTCCCAGACAGCCTGACGCTAGTTAGCAAAGGCACAAAGAAGAGGGAGAAAGTCACATTAGAGGAAAGACCCTTCAATTAACTCGTAATACAATTTTCAGCTCTTGTTGGAAATATCTGAGCCATATCTCCTGGAAAAAAGAGGCAATTATGATTTTTATGGGCTTTAGAAAAACACTAGAAACCACAACAAGTGAATGTGGGACATGAGACTTTCAGTAGTGGTTCAGGAAACTTTTACATCACTTTAAGTATATCTATAGGAGCTTGTATGCACACTTGTCTGTTGGTAAAGGCAGCAGTAGTTATGGAATCTAGTGGTTACAATAAATCATTTGTTTTGGATCGCAGAAATCTCAGACTGTCTGTGTGTGGAACGCATTTCTGGATTTCATCTCATCAGCTTCACTGAACTTTGAGTCACCAGGTGAACAGCTCTTTGTGCAGCAGTGGAGGTGCAGCTTCAGTGTTCAGTGGACTGAGTCCTGCAACCACAGCTCAATTACTGCAGGTCACTTATATAGTTTCAGAAAGAAAACAGCAACCAGCTTCACCACAGGCAAACAAACAACCCATTCCAGACGGGCAGGATTAGAATGAGCTCTGCACTAGTTAAAGAAATTCTAAAAAAGGCAGATAGGATCATTATCAGTGGCTGCTTTGGCCTGTTTCGCTTCTAGCTCTTCCTGACCATGTGTATGATTTGGAAGAGGACCCGTTAGCCCAGGGTTTGCCAAGTCCTGAGTTGGCAGCATGTTTAATCCTCCTATTTATTCCCGTGATGGGATACAAGTGGGCAGATGATCTGTTAAGCCAATGGGTCGAGAGCACATGAGCTCCAGGCACAGGTGAGAAATAAAATCTGTCAGACTCAACTCCACCTCCTGTAAGTTTGGTTTACACTAGATAAGTTATGATACTTCTGATGCCAGCACTTACATCATTTGATGTGCAAAGCGATTAATGAGAGAGTGGACCTGACAAAGTGCTGACACGGAGGAAGGCTGTGGGAGATCGGTGATATACATACACTGCAGTCTTCCAAAAATATTTAAAGACAAACCTGGGATACAACAGGCAACTCAGTTTATGATTTTCGGAATTCGACATGGACTTTGTAAATCTTTCCAAAGAGGAGGGGAAAACGAGTGAAGCAACTATCCTCTGATAAATGGCAGAAGTTGATTCCCAGGGTCTACTGCATTGAACTTTGTGTCTGTCAGATACATGAGGCGTTCTGTGGCGGCAGAACCACACCACCGCAAGCCAGTCCTTAATTACAGCCCTCATAAAGCAGCATGGCGGGTTGAACATTACAACTAAAGCCCCTCCCCAACTTTATTTCTCTCTCTTTGGTGGTATCCCCTAATCCAATAGCATGACTTCATCTTGTCCTCTTCCAACTCTGGGACTTCTCAGCGCTGGCAAACAAGGCCACCAACAGATTCAAATTTCCCAAGATGCATTTGAATAATAAAAGTCATTTTAGGTTTATACAGCAAGTAAACATGGATAAAGTGTTGCTTTATGAGTGATTTTATTATATATAGCCACTTTATTGTGATGCGTTAAAATCAAATCCCAGTCGTACTTCTTAAGACCAGTCAGTGTATTGGGTGGGGGTGATAATCGATATATTGCAAGACAGTCATAGAATGATACATCATGATCTCTGTCCAACTTTTAAATAAAAAATACCCCCATGAGGTAAAGTGCAGAATATGAGTTTGACACAAACTGAAATCAAACAATGTACAAAAAAGTACATTAAGTCATACCTTAGTGTCTCTTTAGTCTTTAACAAACACACCACACTGGTGTCTGGATGATGATATATTGCTGTGTCCATATTTTGTCCCAACCCTATGGTGTATTTGGATTTACCCTTATCAGCAACATCCACTGTTTAGTATTTGCATTGCTTCTGCCCTCAAGCTCCTCTGTCCACTAAGGGAAAGTAATCCAGACCATATATCCTGGAGACCGCAGGTGGTACTGTACAGCGCTCGTAGCTGGGTAAACAAACAGGATACACCAGGTCTGCTTGCAATTCACTTCCCCAGATAACATCAATAAATAAACATCGACATTACGACCAAAATATGACTTGTTCGGTGAGAAGTCTGGTGTTTGGTGAAGTCATACGTATTTACAAAGTCACCTGGAAGATGTCAACATGTGCAACCTACCATGGTGGTATAATCATAGGCTCTATGCGGTAGATGGGGGCAAGAAAAAAAAAAGGCTCATGTGAAAATGGATTTGATTAGACGCTGACGAGATACAATGACGTGATGAAAAGTGATTTCCCTTCACCACAATTTAAAGCAGCTATCTGAAACAACATATGACATGAGCACTAAACCTTTATTTCAATGTTTGCATTCTGTAATCTGCACAGACAAAGAGACGAGAGTGATTGCCTTTTACTCTCCAAAATAAAGAGAGCCAGTGATTTTGCAATGACTTGAATGTATTAATGTCAGCGGCGGAAAACCCAAGTTGTATTATCTTCCTGCCAGTATGACAAAGCTAAAAGAGCTAAAAGAGAGAATGGGGAAAAAGCCTCTGGTGATGCTTCTGCCCAACTAACAAACATGGATCTTGTTTCGCACAAAATTGATTCCATGTTGAGAGCAAACAGGACAGAAAGAGCGAGGATGGAAGTCTAGAGTTAAATATTTTATAGCCTGCATGTGTGCAGCTATACGTGTGTGGTCACCAGTAATAATCACCACAATCTGGGGTTTGGTCCAACATGGCCTTCCACACAACACGAACGGTTGAGGATGTGTGCATGCAGTCACAGACCTCAAACATGGACGGGCTGGGTTGGGGGTTTACTGGCTTCGCAAAGCTCGATTGATGGACTCTCTCTTGTTGTGGTCAGGCCAGGATAGCAAAGGGACTAATACACACACACACACACACACACACACACACAGCTTCACCATGAACCTTTTTATGTCCCTACAGGATCACGGTTGCAGCAACAATCTTATCAAAAACTTCTGGATTAGAAAAGGTAACCTATCCAACGTATTGCATTCCTAAGCAAAGAGGAGGACTGTAACAGAATTAGATTTACAAGTGTAACTGCATTTTTAAGAAATCGGGAGGGCTGAAGCTTTACCTTAGGAAAGTCAGATTGCATAGTTTACACTCCCAGATCTAAAATGTCCAAAATGTAAACATCACGAGCAAAGAAGAACAACAGCACAGTAAGTTTCTAATCAGGTGTAGGATGAGTTCATAACCGAGTGAGAAGAGAGACAATCCTGGCAGAAGGGATCTTGCTGGCATATGGATTTGATGTGCACATGTGTGAGATAGAACATTGAGTATTGTAAAAATACCAAACAGTCTTTGATGTTACAAATTACCTCAGAACATGTGAGGAAATCTTCTGCACATGACCATGAGACACTATCAACAGTTTAATTTCTTGTTTGAAACATGTTCACACGCATTATGTATTTACTCAAATAGTTCACAAACAAAAGAGTGAAGGCTAAAAACAACTGAGACATTTCAAAATCTACATTTTAAATTAAAATTCTCAGATAGATTCATTCAACTCAACTGCAAGATACTGTATTTTCTGAATAACCATTTCTTCTCACTTGCAATAGTAACTAGGGGACTTGAGGGGTAACACTCAAGTTTTAATGAGTTCCTGTTGTTTTGGCTGACAGCCGAAACACCTAATGGATTTTATGAACTTTGTACAGAGCTCAACAGCCCATGGATCCAACCACTGTGTCGGCCAAACCACAGGCGAAAGCAAACAGGATACTGACAATAACGCAGTTGGTGTTATATTCAGGCATTTTAGAGATGCCTCAACTCAATCATTTAAGAAGAACAGAGAAAGTTGTTGAGCGGTTGTTCCAAAAAGAAAGTGATAGGGGTGAAACTAGGGAAATGGCAAATTAAAGGAAATCATATTGATCAATTTGAGTCGAATAGCAGCTCAAAGACTCTTCATCAACAATCATGTTTTATAATCGGTTGCTAACTAAAAACCTTGCAACTATGTAGTTGAAGCATCATTCATCTTTGTATACAGTATGGTGTATGGACTAATTGCAGAGCCACTAGTAGAGAGAATGTTTGCTTTGGATCACACAAAATTTACCAACCCCAAAATAAAACGTGCTGATTTGAATTGTGGTAAAACTCATTTATGCAACAATTCAGCCTTCACAAAACTAGTTTACTATCAGTTAGTTGCTCATTGTTTATTGACCCTAATTAAAACCACAGCACACAGAGGGTTACTTAAACAAATCCAGAAATATGGAAAATTTATAAACCCTAAAAAAACTATAAGCTTTGCAGAGAAAACTGCAGTATAGCTACCTATACTTTAAATCACAGAGATCTGTTAAGAGGATAACCATGCATGCATGACTTTGGAGGTGTGGGGAGCAGCATGTTGCCAAATATAAAAAGCTGTACAGTGTATCGGTTCATACTCTGCCAAATTGCCCCTGGAAACAAAAATAAACCACCACAATGGCTCTGTCTTATATCATACACATGGCATTGCATCACGCTAATTATCTTACATGTATTTCTACCATACAAACAAAGTTTCACGGGGCAGAGTTTATGATGGCAACACCCATAAAGACTAAATTTGATCACTTAACACTTACAAAGGAAAGTGACAGAGAATTTCTCAGGGAATTTGCTTCAGTGATTGCTTTAGGAAAGTATTTGTCTTTATGAGGCAATTATCACCTGAAGGAGCTGCCAGAGGCAGGGGGCCTGTCGAACTAATAATGATAACCATTAACAGTGTTTACTTTCCAACAACACCAAACTTTTACAGCCCAAACCTGGGCCATACTTCAGCCGCACATGATGAAATGGTCTAATAATAAAATACTAAAAAATAATAAAACTTTTTAACCTAAAACTTGTTGCACGTATTCTTCTCGAACAAGTGAGCGAATAATTGGGCAATTTTCTAGCAATGCAAGGAAAAGTTTCTCATTTTAAATATAGGTTATTTATACACAAATAGCAGCCAGAGATATATATAGTTAATTTAAAAAAAGAAAACAATCTGCAACAGCTTTATTTCGGACTGTACAACTTCAAACGTTGCGTTTTTTTCCTTGTGACCCACAAGCCCCCGAAGGAGCCATTAAACTAACAAGCTACTACAAATTGCATTTTCTTTTCAAAGAGCACCCAAGCTCAGCAAGTAAAGACAAAACAAGCAGATTAGCTACAGTAAGGTGACAGGAGACGTTTGCACTTGGGGTTTTCATATGGGACATATTAGTACTTTGTTCTTAAGTGTGCCAGCCAGGGCTTAACGTATGGAGATGTAGTGTAAGGGCAGAGATGAAGTGGTTCGTACGCTGGTATAACAGCTTAAATAGATGCTCCACATAGATGTGAAGGTTAGCTGTAAACAGAGAGAACTGTTAAAAACTCAATTAGTTTGCTGGATTTTGTTATACCAAGGCTTTTCACATAAACCATTTTCATCTGCATTTATCAAAAAAATATGTGATTTGAAGTTAGGAGGTGCACAGTTTCTCTAATTTCTGGATGGAGTCTTGGCTGCATTTCGTCTACGACAGGCTTTGATTCAACAAGTCCGTCAGTCTGTGAAAATCTGCTCCCAGTTAGTCTGGAGTCTCTCTGCATCTGCTCCACACACGGTGCAATGCCTCGGCTCCAAACCCCTTTCTTTCTTTTTAAAATGCTGTAAAAAGCTCTGTCTAACACTTAGATTGGGCAATTATAAAAAATGAAAAAAAATGATTGGCTCTTTTTTTTTTTGGTGGGGATAATTATACAAAGGTACAGGCGTCTTAGCTGACCGCTTTATTAACAGCATGTGAGTGTTTGTCTGTGTCTGAGTCTGGTGTGTGCCACATTAAGGTCTCTATGGATTTCTTCCCTCAAGCATGTGAGGTTATCACGCAAGGCCACCTATCAAACAAAACTGTGCGTTCTCCTATAACCCACAAATATTTTGCTCTATTGTACAAAACTTCTAAATCAGCCTCGATTGTCATTGTGTCACGAGATATTCTTTTCATTTATTCCTTTCAGACTCCACACGAGTGCCCTCAGAGGTATGCAAAGTGATATAGGGAGATTTCTAATTGGGGTATCAATTGTTCAGAGCTACCAAGTGTTGTGTAAGCTGAAATGCCCGAAAGCTGAAATGGCCACGTAAAGACGGATCAGTTTTGTCCTATTAACGAGAAGCTTGAGGTGGTTTTCGCTCCCTCTCAAACAATAGAGGCTGTGGAGGAGAGGGTGACGTGGTAAGTGATGGCTGTATAGTGATCTTAATTGTTTGGTGATGGATGTAGGGAGGACACTTACAGAGCCTGATACTTGAGACGAGGCCTCGCATTCCTGCAACCGTCCCGCCACCGTGTCCAGACCGGGCAATGGAGCTGCTCCAGAAAACGCACATAAACAAGAAAAAAGACGGACAGAACAGAGGCATGAGACCACAAACATTAAAAAAAACTACTTTGAATTTGAACTGTTATGCAACTTACAGGAGATATCAGGTACAGCTTGTTCAGATATGCAAGTCCTGTGCTCCTCTTCAGATCTGCTATCTGATAGACTGTCCCCTTGCAACCTAGAAACAACACGTAACACATACTATATACACAAGTGTACACATGGGCCACAGGGTGCATTCAAATCAGCTCTCAAATCTGCATTTTTTTTAGCCACAACACTGCAACCAATGTTTGGAGACTGAACAGCAGATTACAAAAAGACAAGCACATCGCTATCGGTCTGAGGTGATGAGACAAAGAGGAAGTGTTTAGGGAGTTAATCTCTTCTATTGCAAGATCTGGGACAGTACCAAGAAAGACGGAACATGGGGGTCATTTTTTTTCATCGCTGCGTCGGCACTTTCCTTTACATGAAACCATATTAATGCACTTACAGACATAAAACTCTGCACAGCTCACATCTGTCAGACGCAACTTCCCTCTACTTGCTGAAAAAGCAAAACTGAAAAAATTGGCCCATAGATTCTCTTTAAATCATTCACTTACTGTTCTTTTTTATACTGTGTTCCAAGCGTTTTTTGGAGATATCTGTTTGGACTGAAATGGAAGCTGGTCTGAGAGATTTGGCCGCCTCCTTAAGGTACTAAAAGATTTGGGTTTCCCGTAGACAGGAAAAGAATACAGTGGATGAAAGACAAACAGTGATTGAAATGCAATTTCAGCGGGAAGATAAAAATGTTGCCCCCACGGCAAAGTAATTCACACTCTTTTATCAACAGTATGGAATTAAACTAGCATTTATTTTTCTAAAGCATATTTTAGCGACTGTAAATCATACCACATATTAACTGTAATTACACAGTAATTTAGTTCCAAATTCTTTCGCTGCATGTTATTTCCATGTCATCAGCGCAGACATTCGGTGAAGACAAAGGAAAGCAATCCACGTGCTTTTACAGAGCCGCTACATTCCGTCACAGCTGCAGGGCCTCTTGGTTTTTAACTCTACCAAGTTAAAAGCAGAACACAGTGTCTTTTATTTCTTTTCTTCTTTACACATCCCTTTCCTCGTCTTTCCTGCTCTTTAATCGTCTTTATAAGACCATTAAACGCTACCCAAGATGACTATCAGGCATTACCATCCTGATCATAGCTCATGTCCTGACTACCATCTCCGCAGCACATTCCTGATATGAAAGCAATTCATTTAATGAGAACTACAAGCCCTGAAAGAGGTTTGTGGAGATTCCTTAAGACTGCTCCTCCAACTGCGGACCATGCCCGAGATCTGGGATGTGTTTGCTCACAGGAGGGTTTTGTGGCACAGGCACGCAGCCATTAAAATAACTGATCGAGTGCATGAAGGAGGTGGATGAAATGCCGGTGTGACCACAGCTATAACCCCAGAGACAGAGACATGGCCACAACAGACAGGCCACATGGCACTTTACACTTCAACCAACCAGTTGAGAGCCAGAGGAAGCAGCGTGTTTCCTGACCTGCCACTGCTAGTTAGGAGCCACACAGGCAGACTGGACTGTCGGTGGTGTGGACAGTGTCTGGACAGAAGGGAAGCAAAAGGGCAAAGGCTGAGAGAGGTGACAAAGAAGGTTGGGCTAAGTTTGAATAAAGGGTCAACAAGTTCAAAAAGAAAATGGTCGTAAAACCATACACAAACACGTATAGCTAAATAAATGAAAATATACGCTAAAGTAATTTGTGTCAAAACATTGTTTTCACAAAACTGTTTTGTCTGAGCAATATCTCTGTGTCAGTGAAGTCCAAAGTCTCTTTCACCTTTAAAAAAAACACACTGACACTCGCTGATATCTGGCTTTTGTCTGCACTGGGAGTGGATTCGAACACAGCAGACTTCACCGGAGGAGCCAAATTATAATGAGTTTGCTGGAGGCGTGGAGGGTATCTGGAGAATTCTTGTCCAAGCACGATCTTTGTCAAAGTTATGCATCGAAAAGAAACCACTCAAACCCCTGCATTTGAAACCAAATTAACTTTTAACATTAGTTGAAGTTTAAAATTGTATCCTGCGTGTAAGGTCGCATCTCCACAGTAGCATCGTTCACTTGTGTGAAGCACAGGATCATTAACTGTCCCACATGTTTGTCCTCTGAGGAGCATGTTTGAAGGACGGCTCCACATTGAGCCGTGTTTGAAAGGTGTTTCTGGAAAATCCCATCAAGACAGTGTTAATGTACATGAAGTCTCTGGTAGGCCTTCTCCTCAAACGTCTCCCTGCCCACACTGTCTTCTTTCCACCACACTGTGCATGCGTGAAAGAACATGCATGCGTGTGTGTTGAGAACTCCTGCCCTGATTTCAAAATTCTTCGCCTCCACAAAAGCACAAAAGGCATACCATTCGTGCAACACTTTTCCAGCTTACTGATCTGTTTATGACCCTTACACCAAAAAAATGACTACGAAAGACCAAGACTCCTTCGCCAGAAAAGCTTGGGAAGGATTTGGTGGTCAGGTTAAAGAGGACGAAGCAAGAATTTGGCTTGAACCAGAAGGAGAGAGGAAGACCGAGAAGGAGAACAGATGTCTGACATTTTAGTCGGGAAAAAAAAAAAAGCACCCGGCACGAGAGCCAAGAAGGACTCCAAATACAGATGCTGCTTTGCTTCGCACTGATCCATCCAGAGAACTCAGCGATAACCCAGACGTATAAACTAAATACGTCTATAACTTGCTTAAAAACATCCATTCGCTGAACTGCGAGCAAGAAATTCAGCGATAGGAGTCATCCTCCTGCAGGATCTCTGACAACATCTCACAGCCTACGCATGGAACGAAACTGATAAGCAGTGTGAATGAAAGGAGAGAAGGAAACAGACAAATTCCAAAGCCCAAACAGAGGAGGCTGTGCAGGCAGATTTGTGCCTGGCGTCTCAAACGGAGATACCCAGTTATCTGTGACTGGCATCAGCGAAGAGTCCTGCCCACACCTGCCTGTGTGGTATCACACCCAACACACAGAGATGGGAGCGCTACACGGATGCTGTGGACTGAGGAGGAGGACAGGAAATGTGTCAGAAGAGGAAAACAGTGATAGAGTGAGAAAAGGTGACAATGGAGATGATTATCCACGCAAGAGCGGATTTGTGAAAACAAGCAACACCAGATAGTCTTCAGATATGATATTATTCTCTGTTTTGGATGTCGAGGTATCTCGGATACAAATGCAAAGAGAGGGAGAGGGGGAGTGAAGGGTGAGGGAGGTGTCATGACCCTGGATAAGAATGAGGTTGGTTGTTAGAAGGAAAGGGAAGCTTTGAAACTTCAATGCAGCTAGAATTCATTGCTTTATTTTAAATAGCACTTTTTCTATTTATTTTTTTTATTTGATTTCCCTCGAATGATAAATAAAGTTTATATCTATTTATATCTAAATTTGCTTGACAGATATAACTCTATACTTGTACTGAGTCTTTGGTGAGTACAATTTTTCTCTGAGCTTTATTTATTTGTTTGTCTGAATAAAAACCCACATTCAGTCGCCAAGAGAAGTTCAAAACATTTACCTGGCACACCTAGAGCAAATGTTGAGTGTAACTTTGGCCTGCGGTTCAGGCTGATAGGAGCTGCGTCCCTGGCTGAATTTACTGCCGGATGGAGCCAAGCCCGTTACGCCCTCCATCCGCAGGTCATCCAGGTCCTCTGAGGGGGGAGCGAGCCAAAGAGACGCAAGGAGGGAAAAAAGGAAACCAAGGGGAAAAGGAAGAGAAAACATGACAGAGAAAAGACAAGTCATTAATCATACTTTGGTCTCTCCCTTATGTCAATATGATGCCCAGTGATGACAGTCTGCTTAGAGGCAAGAGGAGCAAACAAGCACGTCGCGGTAAATAAACACTCAGCTCAAAGATGCTGCTGGATCCCTCACATGTATACATACATCCACCAAAATACAGATTTGGAAGTTAATCGTCTCAAAACTCTTTGTTGCAGGGAGTCGATGACAGCAGCACATCGTGGCAGCACAGAAACAGGAAGGGCACGTTAACAAGCTGAGGGTGACGTAGACGGAGAACAGAAAGTGGATGAGAAAAATAAGCAGGAAAAGAGGCAGAGACGGAGATCTGGAAAGCTGGGTTTCTTCTGATCTCCCCCTGTGTCCTCGAGAGCACACACACAGTGAGAGTCTTCCCTCAGACTCTAAAGAAGTCCATATGTATCAGACACGCAAATATTGTTCATCCTAACTGACTTACAGAGATCTGGAAACCTGCTTTTACACACGAACACACAGTTAACAGGTGCACAGGTCTTTTATCAACTTCTTCCCCATGCACGAGGTAAATAAGCTGTATTTTTACATATGCTTTTATTTAATAGCTGCAGTGAAGGAAAGACAGGAAATGGGGAGAGGGTAGGGGAATGAAAAATAAAAATTCTCCAGTCGGCCGGGACTCAAACCAAATGTTTCTCACAGAATATGCACAAAAGCATAAAAATATTCATGCAAATAATTAGAAGGGTATTCTGAGAGCACATACCTCTGTCAAGGCTGAACAAAGATCACCTCATAAAAATACAAATTTTGATTCACAAAATCTGGATCGTTATTCAGATCCGCATCAAATTTCATCATTGAATTTGTTTTACATAAAAACAATATCTGCATCATTTCTTAACAAATTCACAAAAATATGCCAAAAAACATCGTCTCACAATGGTAAAGAGTTAAAGTGAAAATAGATTCCTGGATTCACCCCCTATTTGAATCCTGCTCAAAGAAGTTAAAGCTTTCTTCCTTGGCTCATCCCTCACCCATCCTACAAGTCATTTTTGCGTAATCCTGCTGACAGGCAGACAAATAGCAATAAAAACAGGCGGAGGTAACAAGATTTATGAATGAGGAGCAGTGAATCAGAAGGTTATGAAGTCAGTGTTTTCTGCAGCAAAACAACAGTTGGTTAAATATTCCAGACGATCAAAGAGTGGAGTCTGAATCAGCCAGACCATTTTGGTTTTGAATGCATCCTCAAGAGATAAAACATAGTGCGGCCAGTTCTTTGTATTGACAATGAAAAGATGAGTCTTCCCTGGTTAAGTCGAGCTTTTTCAACACATGTTTAATCACACAGAACATTTCGAATAGTCACCATAACAATATTTTCTTCCCCGTGCTTCCCACCAGACCAGAAGAATTCTGGAGCTTTGCCAGTGAGGTGGGTCGCCTGCAGGACATGCAGCATATTCTGACCTCTTGCTATCATTGTTTCTGCTCCTGCACATACAGTACGTGCCTGTCTTTCTACGTATGTGCGCACGTGGTTATATGAAACCAACATTGATACTTTTCACTTTAGGATCACGTTACCTGAGCCCAGGTTTGGGGGAGAAAACAAAAAGGGCCTCACACCTTGAAAGACGAGAATGCATGACTAATCACCTGGATTATATTGGATGACACTTGCTCATGAGAACTCTCTCCCTACATCCATCAGTGTGGTGCAGAGCCAGAAAAAACTCACCCGTCTCTTGTCTCCTTTAGGTGTGAGGAAATCATTCTGACAAGACGGCTAAATGCAGCACTTCAACATTTATCTGTCACTCCGTCCTGCGCAGAGTCTTGATCCTTACTGACGTTTTTTTTTTTTTGAGACAAGAAGAATGGATGCATTGTAGTCTGTTTTCTTACATGTCTTCAGGTCGGTTATTCCAATTGTTTGTAAATTGATGCATTGTAAAAACTTTGTTGATCCTCTTACGCAAACTCTAGCAGGTCATATTTTGAATTTATGACCGAGCACCTTACAAAACTAATGACATTCCCATCAGCCTCAGCTTTCCTTAAGGGGCTAATCATCAGATGTTAGCATGATAATGTGCTAAAATCATAGCCTGTATACAAAGATGAATTATGTGTCAGCTCCTCATGCGAAAAGTATCTCAGTGTCCCCCTTGTGGCTAGCTGCAGTATATGTCACTTGACAGCTAAGAGTGACTTGTGATTAGTCAAGCACATCTCTCTAAGGAAGCTCGATGATAGTGGAGACTCTAGATGGACTAGATGGCAGCGTATGATCCAGGATATTTTAGCTTCATCTCTGGATTGTGGGAAGAAGTGCATTCGTTTTCTACAAATGATGGGAGTAGAGGCCACGAACCACTTTGAATGAAGTAGTTTTGTACAGCTGTCAAAGTATGAAAAATCTGCAGATGTAAAATCTCTAAATCAAATCGATATATTCAATATGCTAGATCTTTTTACATTTGAATAGTGACACCAATTCGTGTCCAGACTGTCTGAGAATGAGATTGTTCCAGTGTTTCAAGAGGGACAGATACATTCCAGTAATACCCTTAAGCAGGCCAATATTAAATGTCCCATTCATCACAGTATGTGTTGGAGGGGTGGGGACAGAGAGCCACCAGCGATCTGGGCAATTTGCTGGTCATGGGAACCGCTGAAGTTTCGGCCTTCAACTTTTCCTCATTTCTCCTCTATCCATTCCCACTTGGACCCTTTTTAACCATTTCCTCTTCTTCTGGCGACTGATGAATGTGACATACCAGATTTTCTTTGGGTCACAGACCAGGATACAAATCATGGGCTTGACATTTGGAAACGTTCACTGGTGAGGCTGCAGCGTTCATGAGACACCATAAGAATAACAGTGAGCAGCTCTGACGCTGACAGAGAGTATGACCTCAGTGTGCACAGCTGCTCGTCACCTCAACTCCCACTTTGTCTTTTAACCTAGCTTCCTTCTGGTCAAGAGAAAATGACGCTATAATGGAGAGAAAGACCTCAGTGTCTGAGGGAAGAAAAAGCTCATCTCAGACACTTAAAAGGTCACAGAGGTAAACAAAGGCTGTTGTCTGGAGTGCATCCTTCTCAGAAAACAGATTAGTGTGTGACTGAATGAAATGTAGCAGACTTTGAATCACTTAGGAAGGAGTCGCAACACTTGGTGCTGAACAGAAAATTGTTCCACAAGGGAGAACATTATTTTCAGATTATTTTAACAGTCCCAGACGTAAGCAGAAAGGGAAGAGTAACTCACAGTGAGCCTGAGTTTGCATGTGTATGACTGAACATAAAGTAACTATTCCGATTCTCTCACTTTATCCTGACAACTAGAGGCCTGAATGAGACAACAGAAAAATAACATGTCTGTGTTCTTAAACAAACAGATACAGCTGTAAGATTTTCCTTTTGGTTTGTATGTCAAAATACTTTACTTAAAATGGCCTAGCAAGAACCTTTCAGATGTCTAAGTCTCATATAATTGCATTTAGTTAACACCAATTATACATTTTATCACCTATCTACTAATTCCAGACTTCTTTTGTCTTTCTGTATGTGACTTACGTATCCCGGGAAACATTCATCTTAACTGCTTCACACTTAAGGGCCCAAGAAAGTGCAGTGTCAAACTTTGAGTGATTTGAACACAAGGTACATTCATCATGAATAAACAGGCGACCAGCGCTGAGACATACAGGACTCATCAACAACATGTTTTCACAAAGATGGGTACGACAACTGATTTTCCAGTCTGGGACTGTGTGAACTCTGAATAAACAGGTGAAAAGCTCTTTGTGCAGCAGCAGTGGTGCGGCTCCAGGGTTCTGTGGACTGAGTCCTGCGGTCTTTACTTCCTGAGGCTCAATTACTGCAGGTGACTTTTATAGTTTCAGAAAGAAAAGCTGCAACCAGCATCACCACAGGCCAAACAAACAGCCCATTCCTAGCAGACAGGTTTAGAACGGGCACTGCACTAGTTGAAATAATGTTGAATCAAGTATTACACACTATGTAACCAAGACTTATGAAAACTAAATACACCTAGCTGCTTTTCTCATGTGCAAATTCATGTGCTCACATACACTGACTGAACACACAGAAAATCTGATACCTCTAAGTGTTCTTTTCTTCTGTGTCTCCTGAGTCCAACACGTATGACTGAATGCACACCCCCCAGGTTCACAATGGAGCCCAGCATGCCTCCCACACAATACCACCACGATAAGTTTACTGCGCGCCTCCCGTGAGACCAGTTTACCCTGAGACCATGACAGCCGCGCAGGCCTCCGTCTAGACACAACAAACGTCTGTCCACACTCGCCCGTTTGTCAGCCCGTCACATTTCCACTCCCTGGGCACCGGGGCAGCCATGCGTGCTCCCCCTGTCTAACGATGAGACATGGCAGATAAATAAAAATGGGGCTTCGCTGGGGGAAGGGGGGGTTGGGGCGGGCGATGGAAACTATTCGAGCGATGCAATCCCAACAAAAGGCCTGAACGATGAGGAATTCCGTGCCGCAATCACTCACTCACAGTAAAGCCAGGAAGGAGCGGAGTGCACAGATAGTGTTTGTGTGCTCCTCTCTCCAAGTTTCCATGTAATTTAATGTTGTTTAGATAGCGACAGACTGACTGGCTCTTTGTTGCACTTCATGGGACTATAGAGAAAGAGCTGAAGTCATAATTAGCGCACAGGCTCCACACATAACTTAATATACACCTTCTCGGATGTTGCGTTGACAGACGCATTGGGGTGGAATCACCTGACACACAACCCCACACGTGGAGAGGGGAGGCCCGCACGTACACACTTCATCATCCAGATCCAAAGCATTTCACTCGAGCGCCGTGAGTTATTATTTCTCATCTGAGTGAATTTTCCATTCTTTCATGAGCAGCG